ATACAGGCAAGACCGTTACATCGTAATGTCACATCTTTGCAACCGTTTTCTTCCAGCTACTGTTACAGCCCGTCAGACAATTGGGATTCACAACAGACCAATTTCAGGAAACACTGTGCATCGACGTTTGAGAGCACACCGGCTACACTGTAGGAGACCCTATGTTGGACCGATTTTGACGCCACGGCACTGTCGTCTGCGCTTAGTATGGGCTCGCAAACATCAGCATTGGAAATATGCACAGTGGCAGAACGTTGTTTTCTCAGACGAAAGTTGTTTTTGTGTCCATGTTGCAGATGGGAGAGTGAGAGTATGGCGTCGACGAAATGAACGTTTCAGAGACCCATGTGTTCTGGAAAGTGACCGCTGGGGTCGGCCATCCCTTATGATGTGGGGGGGAATAAGCTGGGGGAAGGCATGTACCACCTGTAATCTTTCAAAACAACGGTCAAGGTCGTGGAAGGGGCATAACTGCACGATGCTACATTGACGAAGTCTTAAGGCCTGTTGTCGTAACGTTCTTTAGACCCAGACCACAGTTGCAGTTCCAACACGATAATGCCCGCGCCCACTCGGACATTATCACAGGACAATTCCTGGCCAATCACCACATCCAGACAATGGTTTGGCCACCTCTTAGTCCTGATTTGAATCCAGTGAAACATCTCTGGGGCGAGTTGGACTGACGCCTTCGTCACCAGAAATAGGTTTCACACATTGTACCCATTTGGGGAATAGAACCTGGGTCTTCGGCGTGACGAGCAAACGCTTTAACCACTACCCCACCACCACTGTACATACATCAATCAATCATGAATACAAAATGTCATTTAGAAAGTCGTCAAATGTAACATGTTACATTTGAGATTACACTTGCTCAGTAAAGTGCAGACTCTAGTACTTTTGTTGAGTTGAGTCGGACAACTGGTAGCCTACACCACTGACTTTGTGTGAGGCTGCGCTCTCGGCAAGTGTGTAATCCTAAATATAACATGTACATACATCAATCAATCAGTAGATAACGATCTGTAAAGACATACAGGTGTGCAAGCTGAAAAGGTCAAAAAGCATAATTACACGAGTGTTGTTAAGCTATTGTTTTATACATTATTTATATGCAAGTAACTCGCACTCAATCGGATTATGGTGATACATAGTGTGTGCTTCATGTAAATATGCAGTTCATCTGGAGGTCTGACTGTACTGCTATGTCTGGGGGCATTAAGATGTATCAAATCATTGACAGGTGGCCTTGATAGAATATCTTGTAACCTTGTGTATAATTATACATATTTAATGCTAACGGTTACCATGGTTACTGTACATAAACTATTAATATTAAAAAATATTGTTCTGATGGGGACCTGAGTCATAATAGATTCCTGTATCGTATTACTGGTTGCAGTTGGATCGGGTGGCCAGGTGGCCAGGTGGAATGTTTGCTCATGATATCAGTCACTTGTTTGTCAGACTACATTATTTGTATGTCATGATGATGTAGCTGGAATATGGCTGAATGGCACAAAACTACATTCACTCACTCATTCCAATGCTGCTTTCACAGGGATGGAAATAACCCATTGCCCGACGTCCGAGTCCAGTGTTTTTTTCTGTCGGTCAAGCAAATTCGTATATCACGCTGTACCGGTGTCCAGTTGACTTTCCAATGTTAATTATGTTGTTTACTTAAAAAATCAACAAGGAAATCGGACGGTATAGTGGGAAAATTATCAGGGTAAGTAATCATACATGTGCCACTGTACCGAAGTACACTAGCAATTTTAAAGTTATTTCCACCCCTGTCTCAGATGCAGATGTAGCCTTGTTCCAAGGCTGTACTGAATGCTGAGCCCATCGAAGTACAGTAATTCTATCCTTTGAAGAGGCAGGTCTACTAAGCCGACCGTCTAAGGACCCCATCAGTCTGTTATTTATTATTTTTAAGAAATTATTATTTAAACTATTAATGTTTACCTTAAAGACTTGTGCAAGTCTAATGCAGATGCAATTCATGAAGATCCGGTTTAAAATTTATCTTGCATCCCATGCTTGTCACAAGAGGTGACTAACAGTGTGTCATTTTATTCCAATAGCAAAGATAATGCTTATGATGATCACTGGATTGTCTGGTCCAGACTCAATTATTTACAGACCGCCAACATATAGCTGGAAAATTCCATTAAACAAAAAATAAACAACAACATGCGCATTTGTTCTTTTTGAGTCATTATTTATCGTGTTAATACTGCCAATAGTGTGCGACATTTGGATCACCCTTTGATTTATGTTTATGGTAATAACACAAATGTATTTTTTTCAAGTGTTCTGCATGGTACTCAAAGAGATGTTATTGTGTGACCTTAGAAATTCAAATGCACTGAAAAAATGATAAACCTTTGATCTATCTTTGGACTCACAGGATGGCATTTCATCATGAGCTAGATAATAAGCAGTTGTAATCAAGGTAAGCCGCAGTCTTTGTTCTGTGCCTTTTCTTTTTGATTGATGACACTTTGTAGTTTCTGAACCATCAGGTTCATCATGAATCACTTACAATGTGACACCACAACATGAACTCAAGGAATTTCACACTTTGTAATATATACTATAGTTACATTTAATTATGGATTAGCTTTCTCCCATAAAATGACACATAAATAAAATAACACAAATACTAGGAAATCTGGCCCTCATAATGAAACCCTTCCCTAGTCAATATGATCCCCTATCATCTGCATGGTGTACACTGCTTCCGCTGCTGTCACAATGGTGGGTGGGTATCTGTGCTAGCCATATCACACCCAGCTCTAAAACACATCACAAGACTTGAAATCAGATATATTATTTAAAGGCACCATCCCTCTTCCAATGTGGATAAACTCAAGTTTTTTTCTAGATATCATATATACCTGAGCATGACTATATGTAGTTGTATGATAATTATTGTAAAACCTGACACAAGATATTGCCACCTATTCCAGGTTTCAGATCAGTCATTGTTCAGGCAGGGCTCGATTTAAGAGATGTTAACCTACTTGCACCAGGTGCAACCTAAAACAGAAACCTAGTTGCACCAGGCAAATTCCAGTTGCACTGCTTTTACTACAATATGTCATCAAAGAATATGCTATTGAATTATTTAGATGTTTTATTCAAACCTTTACCCACTCAAAAATTGACTTGCACCTGGTGCAAGTTAGACTAATAACTAGGTAATATTGGGTTGCACAAGTGCAAGTAATAAAGCACTAAATCGACCCTTGTCAAGGCACTGGTTGATTGTCATCATTAACATCTTTAGGGACTTATACAAATGTTTTCTTTAATTAAAAGTTAATATTATCATGTAAATTGTCTTAATTGTTGCTATTTGTCTCCAGTAAATTCACCATTATAAAATAAACTACAGAATAATATGTGTCCATAAAATTAATAAATGTATTTGATTCATAAATATTAAATCTGCTATATGGTAGCATGTATATATAATTTTACTTACATGTTCATCCCTTTTTCTCTCAATCGCTAAATATTGTAACAAACAAATGGCACCATACGCCTAATCAATGCTGGTTCTAATTCGGCCATGCTTAATAAATATTTTTCATTCTAATTATTGTGGAACTGTGGTCACACTAGGATGTCCAAAATCATTACCTAGAATCACTAGGTTCACAAAAAGAAAGGTCCACATTAATGTCTGGATTATACACATAACAGGTTACCATGGTTACGAATTTGCCTGTTGGCAATCAAACACTAGTAGACAGATGACATGTCTCACACAGAACTTCTACCATGTCAGTGTGTTAGTCATGTTTATAAGTTACGAACACTTGAGATGTAACATATCTGAGCATCTCATATATCCAGCTGATTGAGTTAATCAAACTGACAAAAATCACACATCATTGCATCATCAATGGTTCTCAGCATATTGTTCTTGTTTCTAAAAATACAATGTTTCGCTTATCTTATCGAAAATAGAGCACAGTCATATATTGTGTGCCAAATGTAACTGTGGTGGACATTTTAGGTTATGTCTTTGAAAGGAAACGTTTAAGCTGAATACTTAACCAAATAAATGTGCTTTTACTTGAAAAACATGTCCAAATATAAGGATTTTATACTGAGCTAAAAGAGGATTTTTCTTATGCATAGATGCAATAAACACATTTGTATCAGTTATGTTATACATACTACATTAATCGAAACTAGAGTAACATCATTAATCGCACCAGACAACATAAAAATGGAATACTTGCAGCCATATGGCTCGTATGCTGTTTTAAAAGTACCATATGTTTGAATTTGCAAAGTGATCATATAAAAAATATCCTCACAGCCTCAATAATAAGTATTTGAAAGAATAATACTTAAAACATATTGAATCAGGTTTCACAAGGCTAAGGAAATGGCCTTGTAAATATATATTATAGCAGCAGTGAAGGCTATGCTGATTGACAGATTATGATTAACACAATGGTTCACAGCTGCAAATATTTTGAATATTTTCAAACACTGACCCAGGTAAAATTATGTTGACTGAAACTTGAGAGAGTGAAAACATTATTATCCCCCCGGAGCAATTTTACTTATAATTTTTTGCCCAGAGTTGCAGATCTAATACTAGATACTTTACAAAGACATACTCAATATATTTTTGTAATTGATAATTAACTTATTTGATTTTGATGCATTCGCGTGCTTTCATCAGTTAATATGAGCGCGTGAAAAATGCATGTGGGGGAGCCCAACACTAGAGAGGGGCGGGGCAACAAGGCGGGGTGGGTGGAGGAAGAAAGCGACATATTCTAATTCCATACTGGTACAAGGCAAATCAGGATATATATGATGTGAATTTTGTATGCAACACATTTGTGATAACTAAAAGGAGCCATCGACAAAGAAAATAATTCACAAGATCCGTGCACGATGCTCAACATGTCATTGTCGGATCCACAACATTGTCAGTGACACTGACAACACACGAAACTTACCTTCCACAACACGCAATCCAAACAGTCCATCCACGTTAAAGTCTTGATAACTATTTTTATAAAACAACACTAACTTTTCTAATGCCTCGATTACGCTTATTAAAGGTGTCTTTGTGTCCCCATAACGGAACGTGAGTAACATAAACAAAGAGAGCAAGAACATCTGACTGGCGGCCGCCATCTTCGGCAGCTACCACTGATTACCTCCCCTGTGCAACAGAGGGCGTTCTACATTAGGGGATTCCCCTGGAAATGTCAAACTCCGAAGCTCAGCCCATCGATCAGTTCCACGTGATGTTCCAGTAATCAGAATCGATTCGCCGAGACAGTTTGCATGCTATAGTATGGGGAGAAAGCGTCTGAAGGCTCACGTTATAAAAATGAAATTGTGCACATATTGTCTCCAGGATATTCTATACTGTATATACATAAACGAAACATTGAAATGTTTTCTGCTTATATTTTCCTCCAATACCCGTGAAGCTCCGGGTTCAAATTGGTTTTCAGCAACCTGTGCCTGCCGATGCGATGACTTTGGCGACACATGTCATCGCATCCCATCGATGCTTGTACTCACCGGGTTGTCTGATCCAGATTATTACAGACACTGCCATAATGCTGGACTATTGAAGATTGCGGCGTTTTAAACAACAAACAAATATATTATTTTAGTTCAACATGAAACCAGTTGTTATTATGCATCAAACTTGTTGGGTTAGTGTCAATGCTACTAGAATTAACTCACACGTACTATGGAAAATGACAATGATATTTTGGACCATTGCTGTCAGTTTGAATTATTATCATTCACAAGCATGTTTTGTTTTTTCTTGTTTGTTCTTGTTTGAGGCTAAATGGCGAGCAGTAAATAATCGTGTCTCTACTTGAAAATCCAGTGACAGGGTTCACTCACAAAGACAGACCTCCCAAAAGACAGACTCAATGAGTGCACTAATTAGCAGAGCCATGCTGTCCACCCCTATTTAATTAATGAGCTGACCCAGAGTCACTACAGAGTATACAACACGCTCCTATCTCCTGTGCCCTTCTCAAAACATATTACTAATCCTTTTACTGAACAGAACAGAATAGCAATTTTATTCTCAAAGGTGGCATATATGACACAGAGAACATACAGCATATTGATACATATTAAAACATTGGACAAAGTAAAGTTTTGAAAAATTTGGCTGCTTGAGAGTTAAGTGGTGAAGTATCACATGTAACCTTATATTATTTTGAAAGAAGTATTTATTAAATCTAACTCTGGGCAGAGGGCATCAACCAAGCCAGCCAGTCTGACCTGCTCCCTTTAGTCTCCTCTTTGTACAAGCATAGTTTTGCTAAGGGCAATTATCACCCGAATCTGGAATACCACGGAGTTAAGTTTAACCGGATTTTATAGGATTTTAAACATTTTAAATTGCTCTTATTACGCTCAGGCCGGGATACTCGGCAAAACAGGTACAAATGTACAGTTGAGAATACATAGGGTGGCGTAATGGTTTATAAGGACGATCGTACATTTTTAAACACTTATTTGTTTACGGGCCTTGGTTTCTTTTAACATACTGGTTTGGGTTCAATGTTTTCCCATGATGTATGAAGAGAGTTCAGAAAAATTTATCGCCAACATCACACGTGTCGCAGAGGTTACAAGTTTTTCTTCTGGAGTTGTGTGCCATTTACCTAATTCTATAGTAAACGATGGCAGGAAGTTCTAAACAAGATGAATTTTAATTTAATTACACCCCACATACTAAATCACACTGAAGATCCAAGTAAATTTGTCTCACATAACCCCGATTATGTTTTAACAAAGTTTCAATGCAGCTATTTTTGAAAGTTTAAGCCAGTCCGAGTTGTGGGATAGCCTACAGTAAACGCCAAAAGAAACGTTACCCTCCTTCCTTAATGACGGAGGTACCTACATGTATCTTCAGCTGGCGTTGTGATGCGTGGACGTCCACTTTTTGGTATGTCTACGGTGACACCAGTCTGTCTGAAGCCCTGAATAAGTCTTATAACCGTGATGCGGTCGCATCCGAGGGCGTTGACAACAGCATTGTATGTCGACCCTATCTGCACCATCCCGATGGCTCTTTCTCTCTCTTCAGCTGTTAATCGTGGCATATTTCTCGTAATTGTGTATCATATCATCTTTTCTAGGCTCTCTTCATATACCCTGTAGAATCATTCTGCATGTGAAATGGATGCACATACTGCTTGGGTATTGCTGCGTTTTGGCGATTGATATTGCTATGTGTAAACTATGGTGGCCCAAAACCGAAATAGTGATAACTCGACACGATATGGCGATAGCAAGACACGATGTCGCGTCGTGTTATCGCCATTTCGTGTCGTATTATTGCCATTTCGTGTCGTGTTATCGCAATGTCGTGTCGAGTTGTTGCCATTTCGTGTTGCGTTATCGCTATATCGTGTCTTGTTATCGTCATGTCGTGTCGTGTCGTGATATCGCTATTTCGTTTTTGTCTGTATCGCAATATCGCTATATCGTGTCGCCATATCGCAATATCGTGTCGTACTATCGCTTTGTCGCGATATCGCCTAGATTTCTTCAGGGCGATAAAGCGATGGCCCGAATGAGCCACCATAGTAAAAAGAAAATGGAAAAATGTTACTTTGCAAGCACAAATGTTAACAAAGACCAATGTAGAAATTCCTAAACATTTTTTCACAATATCAAAGACACGTTTTACTTGTTTTCACTAATGCAAATCAGCAGAAAATGTTTTAACAGACTGAAATCATAGAAATGATTATTTTATAATTGTACACACTCTACAACAGTTGTTTCTTGTTTTAATAGCTGAAAAATCGTCACTTTAAATAGTTTATATCTTTGTCCCAAAGCAGAATTTTATTTCAAACTTTCTTTTGGACATCTAAATCACTGTTACTGGTTTATTTCGGCATGGACGAAAATAGAACAATTTAATTCTTCTGAAAAGATGCATTTCACCTAAATATGAATGCATTTGAGAATTTATTTTGTTATTGTAAAATGTTGTAAAGCTTTCTTGTAAACTAATACCTTCTAACAGTTTTTAAGTAATTCATAAAGGTGGGAGGGTAACGTATCTTTTTGTGTGTAGTGTAGTGGTAAAGGAGTTCGTGGATCACATAACAGGCCTGGGTTCGATTCCCCATATGGGTAATAATAGTAAGTCATCTTCTATAGCGCACAGTCTCACCAAGTGATTGCTCGCGGCGCTTAATCAGAATCTGATTCTTATTACCCCGGATAAACCAAGCTGCCTGTTAGGCGCTAGAAGGTTATAGTCACATGACTTTATCCCACCGGGTACCCATTTTCTGCTGGGTGAACAGAGGCAATTTGAACAACTCACTTGCCTAAGGTGAGACCACATGCATCACATGTGCTTCGTTGTGGGGCAGGACTGAAGTCCTAGAAACTCTCAGGAGTCAAGCTGCCAAACACGGTCACTCATCCAAGGATTGTCCGAGCTCGACGTTGCTAAACTTCAACTGATTTGTGACCTGAGCTCTGTGCACAGGACCACGCGCCACCACAGAGTGCGAACCCATTTCTGTTGTCCCCGTTGTGACTTTGTGGGAAATTGTCATTACCTTAAAATATGGTGATTGTAGTCACTGCTGTAGTTTGCCTGTCGCTCAGCATTAAGGTAATAAAGCGTGGACTCTGCTCACTACCGGAGTGGAATATCCATTCCTTCTAGAGGTTAACACGATAAATAGGTATTGGTCCCTGCAGCCAGCTACAAAGCGGACATCAGCGTCGCTATATACACACAGTAGTGTTCAACGCGTGGGCTGTGGAGTAGCCTGGCGGTCAAAGAGTTCGCTCGTCTTAACCTCACCACTTATACACGGACCGAAGCCAGTGAATGAGTCAAGATGCTATTTTCGTTTACCAGATAAAGACGCATATTAACGTACAGGTTGAACTGTGTTTTCTCAGTGATTGTTGGCTCATACAGGGTGGCTTGAAGAACTGTCAGCTAGTCTGACTAGTCTCAGTAAGGCCTCCAGTGATTGTGGCCCATAAGGAATCACCATTTCCTTGAGAGAGTGCTGCACGCCATGGCCATTGGTGATGACCTCGGGGATCTGGAGGCCATCTGTGTCCTGGATACTTTCAATGAAATCAGAACTGGACTCGTCGCTGTTCTGGTGGTGGGACGGGAAAGCCGTCTTTGACGATACATAAGACTAACGCCTAGTGTCGGAATACATATAAATTTGATAGAAACAAGTAATTCCATTTAGACTGAAAAGGAGCTCAGTGAGTTCAGAGATTCAGGATCCTTAGGGAATCTAGACTTGCTTCATTCAGGGCTTTAGCAGTGCAGGGAGGGTTAGGCAGAAGGGAAAATAATGCTGTTCAGACTGTGAGACAGACTAAGGATACACCTGTGAACTTCTGAGTGAAGAGGGCTTCAAATAATGCATGGGTTGTTGGTGCTGGATGTTGAGAGTCCAGCCAGGGACCATCTAGATATAATGGCGATTTGTATTGACGACGTCTGTCAGTGACTGGTGCTCCCGTAGACAATCCATCTTCTTCAGCCATTATCTGTGCCAATACAGTAACAGACACTACTCTAGGATTATGACTGATGCTGGTTATCAATATAACCATTGGCAGGTGCCAGACAGTGGAATATGCTCGGTGCGTCTGTAATATTTCTAATTTCCACTACCATATGACGTCATAAAATATCAATAAATCTTTTCCTTTTCCTCTGTTCCTTTCTTTTCCTCAAAAACGGATCTGGATATGTGGATTTATCGTAGAATCCCCTTCCATGCGGATGCGAATCTCCGTGGTTCAGTGAAACCTTTTCGAAGAGACCCTTATCTATTTCGAGCTGACTGGCACAAAGAAGGCTATGTCTGTCATAGTCCCAAAGACTTATCCGAGATGGGGAATCAGACCAAATGGAACGCCCTGGATGTGGGTTCCAATCATCAGACCGGAAGTGCCTGTTGCTCCAAATTGGTACACAAATCCGAGAGCTGGAAGTGTCTGTTGATGATCCTCCTCCTTGTGGGCTCCAGTGTCATCATCACCCTCCCGGTCAGTCCTGTCTGTCCTCTACTACTACAGATGGACTGCTTGTACTGCTCCAAATTGGCACCCAAATCCGAGATGGGGCAATATCAGACCGGAAGT